TTATTTTCTAAGGATGGGAAGCATTTCCAGGCATACAACTTCCTCATAATAACTTCGGTACAAGATCAAAACAGGACTTTGAGAAAGGAAACATTTCTGAGAAGGAAAAGAAATCACAGTATGTTTCTAGATCGATTCAGAATGAAAATGGTGTGAGAACAGTTGAGGGAACACTTAAAATATCGTCATTTACAGGAATGAAAAACAAGAGCGAGTAGCAAGAAGCTTTTCCATCTCCCAGATCTAATTCATGGACCCCAACCTTGTTCACTATCACAGTACCCGCACACGCTACTTCTTTCTCATTCCAATCAGTGACTATAACCCTGACTCCCCTGATGTTACTATGTACGCACTATCTTCAGCTTCACCTCTCCCCTTGTAACAAATGAGCAGCGAATAGAAAGCATGGACTCCACAAATCAGAGCGTAGTAAAAAAAAAGAAATATGTGCATATGGTACACACGAGGAAAGAAAGAAGAAACAGGGGAGGAGTTAAACTTCTTTTTATCAGAAAGCTCTGGGTTTTGAACGGATGAGAAGGATAAACAGAAGTAAAATAACCATATACGAGTCAAATTTGTATAAGTGGGGACTTAAAAGCAAAGCAGTGTTTGATATAATAGCACAAGCAGCAAGAGTAGCCCAAATGGATGGGATACTGTTGATAATCATGGAAGTTACCAACCACAAAGTGACTCGGCAAACTGTGGTCCACATGACCAACATAGGGGAAGCAAAGGAGAACTTTTTGTATTAGCATATAGTGGACACTGCATCAGAAAGGAAGAGAGATCGAGTGAGCGAGTGAGAAAGAAATACACACAGACAGACAGAGAGAGACTTACAGACAGACACGGGAAAGATGAAGCAGGAATACTGGATCCAGTATGTCTAGATAAAGTCGAAAAAGAGTGTCGTCTGGGCACTAACTACCATGCCATACTGAATTTCAAATTTCTCGTGGGAGAAAACATTGAGAAAACAATAACCAGGAAGAAAATTAAAGAAACCAAATTTAAGAAGAGAAAAGTCTGCAGGGATGAAAGTGTTCCTGAATTATCTGCAAGGGAAAAGCAACTGAAAGAAAACTCACCAAAAGGATGGAACAAGGGTGGGAAAGCAAGTTAGGTGAGCTTACTGCGAGAATGGAAAAGAGGATGGAAGAAGAAAAGAAGAATTAGAAGATGAGAGCTAAAGCTACAAAAGCCAAGATGCAGAAACTAGAAGCTGAAGTGAAAATGCTGAAGGAATATACAGGGCCAATGATCACAAAGGACTAAGCATCTGGAGCAGGTCCACCAATATTAAACAAGGTGTCCAAGGAAAGGAAGGAGAAAGACTTATTATTGAGGCCCTATCAGGCCACCAGGAAATGTGGAGGAAAAAAGGGGCATGTTGTTTGGCACAGGGGTGGCAGTAAGTAAGGGGGTGTGTTGGTTAAGAAAGTGACATGCCCCCCTACAGAGGCGGGAACAAGCCGCCAGGAGATACAGAAAATAGTAAGGAAGGCAACAGCTATGTATATATGGGATCCAGAGATGCAGAGGGAAAAGCAAAGGGAGAAAGAGAGGAAAAAGTCAGTCTTTATACATGGGCTTCAGGAGAGCAAAAGGAGGACATGCGATGAAAGACAGCAGAGAAAAAAAAAGATTGAAAATATCATTAAACAGGTGAGGACAGCATGACCGAGCTAATAAATTTTTAGAGAAGAGGGAATACTCGACGGGAAAATCAGCATGTCAGAGTAATTTTCAAGACAGTGTCGGTGAGGAACAGGATCCTAGAGGAGAAACCACGATTAAAGGAATCAGTAATATACCGGAGGATGTTCCTAGAACACAAGAGAACGACAACAGGACCATGGAAATTGAGAGAGAGGAAACAAAGATGAAAAGGAAGAGATAGTCAGTAGAGGACAATGAGATTTGAGTGGAAAAACAAACACGAACACCCACAGAGCCCCACAAAAAAGCATATTACTCCTAAACAAACCCCATTCCACAATCACAGCCCCCAAACCACTCTACACAGTAGACCCTCAGAGCACTGTGTCAGGTCTCCCACTCCCACAAGCCCCACATCCCCCCCAAATACAGTCCTGGGGAGGAAACTGAAGGGTTGGTACACTAACGCTGATGAAATGACGAATAAGTGGGAGGAGTGGCACGAAAGAATCACAGAAACATCACCAGACACCATAGCTCTCATGGAAACCAGGCTCACAGGAATGATAACAGATACCATCTTTTCAAAAGGATATCAGATTATCAGGAAAGATAGAGGGAATAGAGTGGGTGAAGGCGTTGCACTGTTCAACACAAACCAATGGAATTTTGAGGAGCTGGTTAGGAGAGATGGAGGCAAAGCAAGGCACTATATAATAGGAAAATTTCAGGCTGCAGGTTCCAAGGCGGTGATTGTGGTCATGTATAACCCACCAGAGAATAACAGGAGGCCAAGAGAAGAAAATGGCGAGAGTAACAGAGACATGGTCGAAACGCTGGCAGAAGTGGCAAGAAGGGCCTACATGGGCAGGGCAAAGCTACTGGTTATGGGTGACTTTAATCACAAGGAAACTGACTGGGAAAGCCTGGAGAGACACTACCTGAGACAGAGGAGAGGACGATCCAGCAGACTGGACCTTGTATTCACCTTGAGTAGTTAAGATACTGAAGACATCACATATGAAAGGCCCCTCGGAGCTAGTGATAACGTGGTTCTGAGCTTCGAATACATAGAACTAGAAATGGAGAGGGAAGCACGAAGGGCATGAAGAAATAAACCAAACTACAAAAGAGGTGACTACATAGGCATGAGGAACTTCGTCCATGAGGTTCAGTGGGAAAGAGGATTGGCATGAAAATCAATAAATGATAGGATGGAATATGTGACAATATGCAAGGAAGCAGAGAAGTTCATTCCCAGGGGCAATGGAAATAATGAGAAGGCCAGGTGAAGCCCTTGGTTCACCCAAAGGTGTAGAGAGGCCAAAACCACGCGCACTAATGAATAGAAGAGGTATAGAAGGCATAGGACCCAGAGAAACAAAGAGACTAATCAAAGAGCCTGAAATGGATGTGCATAGATATGGAGAGAAAGGCCCAGTGGCAATACGAAAATGACATAGTAGCAGCGAAAGCCAAGTCTGACCCAAAGCTATTGTACAGTCACATCAGGAGGAAAACAGCAATCAAGGACCAGGTAATCAGGCTGAGGAAGTAAGGTGGGGAGATCACAAGAAACGACCGATAAGTATGTGAAGAGCTTAACAAGTGACCTAAACAAGTATTTACAGTGGAGACCGAAAGGAATCCACAAAGCCAGAGTGCTCAGGTACACCATCAAGAGCCGGACACATTACCTGCAACAGAGAAGGAGGTGAAGAAGCCGTTAAGCGAACTAGATACGTCAAAAGCGATGGGACCAAATAACATCTCTCTGTGGGTCCTGAGAGAAGGAGCAGAGGCGCTCTGCATACCACTAACAATCTTCAACACATCTATCGAAACAGAGCAACTACCTAATGTGTGGAAGACAGCAAATGAAGTCTTAATTTATAAGGAAGGGGACAGACTCACAGCACTAAATTACAAACCAGTGTCACATGTATAGTATGCAAAGTCATGGAGAAAATTACCAGAAAAGTGGTGGAGCACCTAGAAAGGAATGAGCTTATTCACGACAACTAGCACGGCTTCAGGGAGGGAGGTCCTGTGTTATAAACCTACTGGAGTTCTATGCCAAGGTGATGGAAATAAGGCAAGAGAAAGAGAGAGGTCGGTAGAATGCAGATTTTTAGGCCATAAGAGGGCTTTTGACAACGTTCCACACAATAAATTAGTGCAATAGCTGCAGGACCAGGCAGGTATAACAGGGAAAGCACCGAAATGGATCAGAGAATACCCGACAGGAAGGCATCAGCATGTCATGGTACGTGACGATGTGTCTGTGACAAGCGGGGTTCCAGAGGGGTCAGTCTTAGGACCGGTGCTCTCTAGTATATGTGAATGATATGACGGAAGGGATAGTCTCAGATGTGTCCCTGTTTGCAAGCGAGTTGAAGCTAATGAGGATAATTCAATCAGATAGGATCAGGCAGGACAACAAGGGGACCAAGACACGCTGTAAGCTTAGAACATCAACTGGCTCCTAGAGTTTAACCCCACGAAATGCAAAGTCATGAAGATCGGGGAAGCGGGCTAAAAAGACCATTGGCAGAGTAGTCTAGGAAGCCAAAGACGGCAGACTTCACTGAAAATAAAGGATCTTGGGTTGAGTATAGTGTTGAGGCGCACATCAAGGTGCGCATATAGGTGACTAGCAAGCCTAAGAATAGCATTCCGACACCTCAGTAACGAATAGTTCAGGACTCTGTACACAGTTTACGTCAGGCACATTCTAGAATATGCAGCACCAGTTTGGAACCCACACCTGGTCAAGCACGTTATGAAATTAGAAAAAAAAATGTGCAAAGGATGAAACGAGAGTAGTCCCAGAGCTATGAGGCATGTCTTACGAAGAGATTTTAAGGGAAATCGACTTGTCGACACTGGAGTACAGGAGGGAGGGGGGGGAGGATATGATAAAGACGTATAAAATAATGAGAGGAATTGACAAGGTGGACAGAGACAGGATGTTCCAGAGATAGGACACAGCAACAAGTGGTCACAATTGGAAATTGAAGACCAAGATGAGTCACAGGGATATTAGGAAGTATTTCGTCAGTCATAGAGTTGTCAGGAAGTGGAACAGTCTGGAAAGTGATGTAGTGGAGACAGGAGCCATACATAGCTTTAAGAAGAGGTATGATAAGGCTCATGCAGCAGCGAGAGAGTTCACCTAGTAGCGACCAGTGAAGAGGCAAGGCCAGAAGCTGTGACTTGACCCCTGCAACCACAATTAGGTGAGCGCAGTTTGGGGAACACACACACACACACACACACACACACACACACACACACACACACACACAGTCACTTTAATAACATATATTTACCTGTGATGGTTAGCGTGGATATGAAGACCATAGGAGGGTGAGTTGACAGTTGACATACATATTCGCCAGCGTCTCTTGCTTGGGCGTATCTCAGGTGGAGGATCCACTCCTGATGGAACAAACAACATCACCCTTAATTTTAGAAGAATCTAGCCTAGAAATATTAACAAGGAGCAAAACGAGATAACTTAAAGCTATTTAACAATGTATTTATCAAAGACATGTGTTACAATATAAAGATCTAAAAAAATCGTTGCAGAGAGATAGAATACAAGAGGAACTGAAGATGGAAAATGGATAAAGGCACAATTGCCAACAGGTGGATGCAATTATAGCATAAACAGAGGTGAATCAACTGCAATAAAGGACGTCAGAACAGTTTACTGTGGTGAGCGCCGAATGCTAATACTGAATTCGATGTTCCTCACACGTAACGATGTGCCTCCATATCTATGTAAGCCAGCTTTAAGGCATGACAGATACGTCAAATGAGTGCACCATTTGTGTCCTGTCGCACTACCATTGAAGAACAAGCTCCCTGGTATGTAGGAGCAGCATTGGCCATCAGACCCACAACAGCATTAAGCTGGTTAGCATCATGATAGTACCTAAAACAGTGAGTGTTCTCATGTTCTTTCTCAAACCTCTACTTGTATTACAGATAACTGGCTCATACCCACTGTAAGAATGAAGTATGGTGGACGAATTTTGAAGGATAAGTGAAAAAGAAAAAGAAATTAAAAGCGAACGTAAGAAAGAGCAAGGTGATGAGAGTAAAAAAAAAATTTAGGCAATGCAAGACTGGATATCAGATTGAAGGGACGGAGTATGGAGGGAGTGAATGTGGTTCAGATATTTCAGATTGGATGTGTCAGCAGACTGATCCAAAAAGATGAGGCGAACCATAGAAATCATGAGGGGGAAAAAAGGTGGGAGTTGTGCTGAGGCAGGCCATTGTGGAGACAAAGAACGTTTTCCATGGAGACAAAAAGATGAATGAAGGAAAGTATAGTGGCACCAATACTTTCAAATGGTAATCAGTCCCTCAAATGGTAATCAGTCCCTCAGCCTAGAGTCGATGTGTTCACTCCATCAATCTTGTAGAAAGTACAGTAAGGGCAGTAGAAGTGGCTTATATACTGTTCTTTAATAGTCTCTGGTGCGGTACTCTCTCAGAAGCTTTACTAAAATCCAAACAAATAATATCGAATTCTTTATTGTGATCCGTCAAAAAGGAAAAAAGGGGAAAATGCGGGGAATAGGGAAGGACGCAATATCAAGGAATACATGAAAGGAAGAACCAGGAGGGCCGGGGCAAAAGGTTTTCAAAGGGGGAAAAGTGACACGGGTTCACAAGATTTCCTAGGCCCCCCCCCCCTTTTGTTTTGTAACCTTTTCCCCCCCCAAAAAACTTTCCCCCCCCCCCAAACCTCCCCCCCCCCCCCCCCCCCCCCCCCCCCCCCCCCCCCCCCCCGGGAAAAATTTTTGGGGGGGGGGTTTTCCCCCCCCCCCCCCCCCCCCCCCCCCCCCCCCCCCCCCCCCCCCCCCCCCCCCCCCCCCCCCCCGGGGGGGGCCCCGGGAAAAAAACGGGGGGGGGGGTTATAAAGAAAAAATTGAAGTTAAAGTGGACGGCGGATTTTAAATAAAAAAAGGGGTTTTAAGAAAGAGGTTCCGGAATTTTTTTTTTTTTAAAAAAAAAAAAGTCTTGGAGCAGGAAGAGTCCTAGTTGCGACCAGTTAAGAGGTGGGGCCAGGAGCTGGATCGACCCGAAACCACAACTAGGGGGGAGTACCCACAACCACACACCACACACCACACACAAAACACCACCACCACACCTGGTCAAGCACGTCAAGAAATTAGAAAAAGTGCAAAGGTTTCAAAAAGACTAGTCCCAGAGAAAGGGTTGCCCTATAAAGAAAAGGTTTAAAGGGAAAATCGGATGGCGACATGGGGTAGGAGGGTCGGGGGACATATAGGACATATAAAATACTGCACGATAGACAAGGGGGACAAAGAAGGATTTTCCAGAGTGGGAAAAAAACCAAGAGGTCAAAAATTGGAGATCAGTGAATAAAAGGGGATTTTAGGAAGAAATTTTTTCTCAGTCATAGAGTTGTCAGGCGTGGAATGCCTGAAAGTGAGTAGTGGAGGCGAACCATACATGTTTTAAGACGAGGTTTGAAAAAGCTCATGGAGCAGGGAAGAAGGAGGCCCTACAGAAAATCAGTGAAGAGGCGGGGGGCCCTGAAACCCACAAATAGGGAGTTTAAACCCCAAAAACACACACACCACCACCACACCACACAAAACACACAACACACACCACACACCCCCCCGTTTACACCAAAAATTTTATATGAAAAGTGTCTGTGGGCAAATGCCTTCAACAAATAGACAAACACTTTAAAATTTAATAAGTTCAGGAAAATTAGCATTAGAAATGGTAAAATAACGGGGGAAGGGAAAAACATTTAGAGATGAAAGGGGCAATTATGGTTAAAACAGAGTTAAGCCCCGGGAAAATGAAATGAAAAAGCGATGAAGACTGGAGGAAAATGAGGCGAGCAGTTTTAGGTTTAAATAATAATGATGAGAAAAGCAGAAGAAAGGAGAAAACTCATTAGCAAAATTTTCTAGGAGCAGGGGCGTAGGGTGGAAAAGAGAAAAGGAAGGAAATGGTGACAACAGACAAGGCAAACGGGTGGAAGGGAAAATGGGAAAAAAAAGGGTTAAAAAATGAGGGTTATAGACTTATAAAAGGCTATAAAGGCAAAGGGAAGTGTGTGAGGGGAAATTAAATCGTTTCGATCTTAAATAAAAAGGAAGCAGGAAGGAATTAAAGTGGGATTTTTTCTAGGATGGGAAGCATTTCCAGGCATACATTTTCCCTCTAAAACTTCGGTAAAGATAAAAAACAGGACTTTGAGAAAGGAAAAAATTTCTGGAAGGAAAAGAACACCGGATGTTTCTAGATCGTTTCAGAATGAAAAATGGTGTGGAACGTTGAGGGAACATTTAAAAAATATCTATTTACAGGAATAAAAAACAAGGGGGAGTAGCAAGAAGCTTTTTTCCATCTCCCAATTTAAATTATGGCCCCAAACCTTGTTCATATCCAGTACCCGCACCGCTACTTCTTTCTATTCCAATCATGCAAAACCCCGCTCCCCTGATGTTCTATTACGCACTTTCTTCAGCTTCCCCTCCCCCCTTGTAAAAAATGAGCAGCGAATAGAAAAGCATGGACTCCAAAAATCAGAGGTAGAAAAAAAAAAGGAATATTGCATATGGTACACAGAGGAAAAAAAGAAGAAAGGGGAGGAGTTAAACTTCTTTTTATCAGAAAGCTTGGGTTTTAAAGGGGATGGGAAGGATAAACAGAAGTAAAAAACCTATACGGGTAAATTTTGATAAGTGGGGATTTTTAAAAGCAAAGCAGTGTTTAAAATTTAATAGCAAAGCAGCAAGAGTCCCCAAATGGATGGGAATGTTGAAAATTTGGAAGTTCCCAAACCCCAAAAAGTGACTCGGCAAATGTGGTCCACAGCCCAACTGGGGGAAGCAAGGGAACTTTTTGTATTAGATATAGTGGAACTGCTCAGAAAGGAAGAGAGATGAGGAGCGGTGAGAAAGAAATACAACAACAGACGAGAGGACTTACGCAGCAGGGAAAATTAAACAGGAAACGGATCCAGTATGTCTAGTTTAAAGTCGAAAAAAGGTTCGTCTGGGCATAATACATGCCATACTGAATTTAAAATTTTCTCGGGGAAAACATTGAGAAAACAATAACAGGAAAAAAAATTAAAAAAACCCCAAATTTAAGAAGAGAAAAGCGCAGGGATGAAAGTTTCTGTTTATCGCAAGGGAAAAAAAACTGAAAGAAACTCCCCAAAAGGATGGAAAAGGGTGGGAAAGAAAATTAGGTGAGCTTACTGCGGAATGGAAAAGGGGGGAAAGAAGAAAAGAAGAATTTGAAGATGAGAGCTAAAGCTACAAAACCAAGATGCAAAACTAGAAGTGAAGTAAAAATGCTAAAGGAATTCGGCCAATGTCCAAAGGACTAAGGGGGGCCCCAAAAAAAAGGGAAGGAAAGGAGGAAAGATTTTATTGAGGCCCTATCAGGCCACCAGGAAATGGGGGGAAAAAAAGGGGCATGTTTTTTTGGCCAGGGGGGGCGTAAGAAAGGGGGTTGTGTTGGTTAAAAAAGTGAATCCCCCCTACAGAGGCGGGAACAAGCCGCAGGAGATACAAAAAAATTTTTAAGGGAAAGGGAAAAAGTATGTTAATGGGAACCAGAGATGCAGGGGGGAAAAAGAAAAGGGGAGGAGAGGAAAAAGTCAGTTTTAACATGGGCTTCAGGAGAGCAAAAGGAGGACTGCGATAAAAGACAGCAAAAAAAAAAAAAAGATTGAAAATTCATTAAACAGGTGGGACAAGACGAGCTAAAAAATTTTTTAGAGAAAGGGAATACTCGAGGGGGGAAAATCGCATGTAAGTAATTTTCAAGACGTGTCGGTGAGGAACGGCCCAAGAGGGAAACCCGATTAAAGGAATCGGGTTTTTAACCGGGGGAGTTCCTAGAAACAAGAGAACGAAACAGGACCATGGAAAATTGAGAGGAGGAAAAAAAAGATGAAAAGGAAAAGTCAGTAGAGGCAATGATTTTTGGGTGGAAAAAAAAAAAACCAAAAACACCCACAAAACCCCCCAAAAAAGCATTACCCCCTAAAAAACCCCCACCCACAACACAGCCCCAAACCACTTACACAGTGACCCTCAGAGCACTGTGTCGGTCCCCCACTCCCCCAACCCCCCAATCCCCCCCAAATAAGTCCTGGGGGGGAAAACCCTGAAGGGTTGGTACACTAACGCTGATGAAATACGAATAAGTGGGAGGAGTGGCACGAAAGAATCACAGAACATCCCCAACACCATAGTTCAGGGAAAACCCAGGCCACGGGAATGAAAACAGTTCCCATCTTTTCAAAAGGATATGATTATCGGGAAAAGATGGGAATAGAGGGGTGAAGGCGTTGCACTGTTCAACACAAACCAAAGGGGAATTTTGAGGAGTGGTTGGGAGAGGGGGGCAAAGCAAGGCACTTAAAATGGAAATTTCAGGTGCAGGTTCCAAGGCGGTGATTGTGGTATTTTATACCCCCAGGGGAATAAGGAGGCAAGAGAAGAAAGGGCAGAGTAACGAGACATGGTCGAAACGGGGCAAAAGTGGCAAAAAGGGGCTACTGGGCAGGGCAAAGTATGGTTTGGGTGCTTTAATAAAAGGAAACTGAGGGGGAAACCCTGGAGGACATTCCTGGACGAGGAG